ACACACACACACACACACAGTCTCTCTCAGACACACACACACACACACAGTCTCTCTCAGACACACACACACACACACAGTCTCTCTCAGACACACACACACACACACAGTCTCTCTCAGACACACACACACACACACAGTCTCTCTCAGACACACACACACACACTCACTCACTCAGTCTCTCACACACATTCACTCACTCAGTCTCTCTCACACACACACACGGTTATGCCTATAATATACAATGACAAAGACAATTTTTTAAATAAAAATTAATTCCCATGCGATCTCATGCAATGTAATTTACAAATATAATGACTCATAATGTGCATAAGATACACATCTTATAATTATTATGACTGTGGCGTATATTTGCAAAATAAATGTCAAATAAACATTTTTTTTAAACAAATGTATTTATTGGAAACTCAATTTGCCACTGCAAACATGTAAAACATTACAAATAAAAACATAAATATACCACATCGCAAACCATTCAATAAAAGCTTGAGCAAATACATGTTTGAAGAACAAGCATCATAAAATCTTTTGTGACACTATCAAGTAGCAAGGATCGAACTGGCCTTTCTGCGAGGATGGACAGTTTGCATATTTTGTTCTAATAAATACTAAAACAGTACAGCAGTACACAAATAATCTTGAGAAAACAAACAGCTTTTTAGTGATTAAATAATATTATTAGTGAACGATTAATCACATCCAAAATAAAAGTGTTTGTTTACATAATGTATGTGTGTGCACTGTGTATATTTCTTATGTGTATATAAATACACACACATACATATAGTATATATTTTGAAAATATTTGCATGTATATATTTATATTCATATAATTTATATAAATATATTTAATATATAAACAATATATTTTTCTTAAATATATACATGCATGGGTGCGTATTTATATATACACAGTGCACACACATACATTATGTAAACAAACACTTATTTTGGATGTGATTAATCGCGATTGCCCAGCACTGAATATTATGCATGTTTCTTTAATTAAACACTAAAGTGACTACTGTTAACTTTCAAGACTCCAGTAATGTTAATTCACTCGACTACCTAATAATGCAATACAAGACAATGCATTCATTACAATTTATTGAAACCTAACAAAGGCAAATAGTGGCACATGGGAAGTTAAAAGAAACATACAAATGGAGTGCTTTCTTGACGTTTCTGTAATGTTATATCTCCATCATTTGCTATACTTGAAGTCTATCACATAAAATCTTGATAGGACTTTGTGTTCAAGTTAAGGCCTTTAGCCCAGTTCTTTTGAGAGCTCAGTCTGAAATCAGACAAGGCTTCCTGTATTTGCTCTGCATCCACACTCTGTGCATCACCACCTTCTTTCCTCGGTTTACCTGCAGTCTCCTGTCTTCCAGATTCTGAAGCTCCTCCAGACCAGCATTAGAAAACAAATGATGAACCTCATCTGTAAAGAGATCAGGATGTTCAGCATGAATAGTAGGTGTTTATCCGAGCCAAAAACGGGATGGAATTCAAAAATAATATGGAAGGAATTTAACAACATCAAAAAATCGGCTGAAACGGTTCTACCTTTTGTGAAGAAATACACACAGGTTCCATCCTGGCGCGTATAGAAGTTCTCAGACAAACACTGACCTGTAGGAAGTGGCCATGCGCGGTTATACAAGAGTAGATCAATCAACTTTCAATAGAACACAATAATACAATATTAGGACTCTCATGAGATTAAAAGAAAAATAACTAATCTGGTGTTTTCACTTTAACACATTCAGTTCCTTTTTAAGGACAGAAAACTAAATAATGTCATATGTGACCCTGAACAATCCGTGTATCATTCGATCATTCGTTTTTTGATTTAATATTGAAAGTAGAAAAATGAGAAAACGGCTCCTTTTTCGTTTTTTTTCCAAAAAAACGAGAAACGGGAATTCAGCTTAAATTAAAATTTTTCGTTCATGGGTAGAAAAAAGAATAAACAGCTTGAATATTTGATTTCTACATGTGGGCGGGAATTAAACGCCCCTTTCTGCTGATTGGTCAGCCGAAGATCAAACCGTGCCGTCATCAGTTCTTCTGCAGTATCGCGCAGCAGAATAATAGTCCTCCACTGCTGCAGTTGTATGGATTCTTAACGCATGTATTGTAACTACATTTAATCTTTTTTTCATCAAACAAACAGGCTAATGAATAGCTCAACACAACTCGTACCGGGGCATTGTCTAGACAGGGTTTTCTTCTGTGTAGATATAAATTCTATTCTTTGCATCAGCTGGGCATCTTTCTGGCGCATGCCACAAACATGGACCACAGGAAATACTCGTTTTTTAAAAGGCTTCATTTAGATTATTTTACATTAAATGCATCATATAAGTCACTTTGGAATAAATCACAGTAGGCCTATGTATCATGATAAAAAAAAAAAAAAACGACTTTACAGTCTGGAAATACTTTAGGCTATAGCTAATTATTTCTCGGACCCCCTATCACTTTAAGAACCGCTGGTCTACACAGAAGAAAGCCCTGTCTAGACTCTTCCCCGGTACGAGTTGTGTCGAGCTATTCATTTGGCTGTTTGTTTGATGAAAAATATGAAATTGATAAAATGGGTTATTAATCCGTACAACTGCAGCAGCGGAGGACTATTATTCTGCTGCGTGATACTGCAGAAGAACTGATGAAGGCACGGTTTGATCTTCGGCTGACCAATCAGCAGAAAGGGCATTTAATTCCCGCCCACATGTAGAAATCGAATATTCAAGCTGTTTATTCATTTTCCCACCCATGAACGAAAAATGAAAATTTAAGCTGAATTCTAAAAAACTAAAAAGGAGCCGTTTTCTCATTTTTCTACTTTCAATATTAAATAAAAAAACGAATGATCGAATGATACACGGATTCTGGACCAGTCATAAGGGTCAATTTTTCAAAATTGAAATTTATACAACATCTGAAAGCGGAATAAATAAGCTTTCCATTGATGTATGGTTTGTTAGGATAGGACAATATTTGGCCGAGATACAACTATTTGAAAATCTGGAATCTGAGGGTGCAAAAAAATCAAAATACTGAGAAAATCATCTTTAAAGTTGTCGAACGTGGCTCAGCCAATCAGAATCAAGCACCGGAACTCTCCGTTTTATAATAACCTTTTTGAATGCCTTTTTATTTTTATATCTTGTTTTCATGATAGTTTTAGTTAAAATTTTAGTCCTTTTATTGTGTTTTTTTTTTTATCTATATATAGATTTATAGTTACATAGTTTATTAATTTTATTTAAGTTTTAGCTTTAGTTATTTTTGCATATCAAGTTAAACTAAACAAATTTTATGTATCCATGTATATATATATATATATATATATGTGTGTGTGTGTGTGTGTGTACCTGTTTTTCTATTCTGGTGGGGACTTAAACCTGAATACACACAGACTCATGGGGACTCGTGTCACGGTGGGGACCTAAATTGTGGTCCCCACGGGTACAAAAGCTTATAAATGACACATAATGAAGTTTTTTGAAAATCTAAAAATGCAGAAAGTCTCCTGTGAGGGGTAGGTTTAGGGGTAGGGTTGGTGTAGGACAATAGAATATACGGTCTGTACAGTATAAAAACCATTACGCCTATGGAGTCCCCACAAGGACAGCAAACCAGACATGTGTGTGTATGTGTGTGTGTGTGTGTGTGTGTGCGTGCATGTGTGTGTGTGTGTGTGTGTGTGTGATATAATGTCAGATATGTTCCCTGAAATTACTGCAAGGCTTCATTCATAAGCTATCACCTAGTAAACTTGATCCAGATTCTTCAGCCCATGGTAACTAAAATAAGTGCACTGTATAAATAACTCAAACAAGGACTCCAGATTCAGTATTGAACATTTGAAGGAATGTATAAAACTTTATGATTTATCTGTGAATCTGATGAGGAAACAACAATAGTTCAAAACCTCTCGGAGTAAGAAGAGAGGCAAGAGACACTGGTCTGCGAGTACAAGTGCAGACAATCTGAGCTTATTCAAGGGCTTCACATTTGCACTTACTTCACATGGAACAAATCATAAATACTCCAGAGCTCTGGCAAAGTATGTAAACTGACCATCGCAAACACTCAATTTTCCATAACACTGCTAAAGAGCTGTCAAGATCATGGTTATGTTTGAAGATTTCTTACATAACTTCTGAAGCTACAATGTTGGTCCTGATAACACAATCATGTCCAAATTACATCCATTGAATCCAAGAGAAATTAGTCTAAGAATGAACTTCATCATGTTTTAACATAAACCTATGGACTGGCCTGATGTTAAGTTTGTATAATCACACTTCTAAATATTAAAACATAAAAGTAGTGTAATGATCAAATAAAAACATGCTTATGATTATTTAATGTATATTTTAAAGGGGTCATATGATGTTGCTAAAAATAACATTATTTTGTGTATTTGGTGTAATGAAATGTGTTTATGCGGTTTAAGGTTAAAAAAACACATTATTTTCCACATACTGTACATTATTGTTTCTCCTCTATGCCCCGCCTTTCTGAAACGCATCGATTTTTACAAAGCTCATCGGTCTGAAAAGCGAGGTGTGCTGTGATTGGCCAGCTATCCAGAGCATTGTGATTGGCTGAATACCTCAAGCGTGAGACGGAAATGTTACGCCACCTCACCATACTGTGACGCCCTGTCCGGCCGGAGCGACGAGACAAAAACATGAAAACCCATTATAAACGAGGCATTTGTTGCATCCAGTGGGGACATAATTACTGATTATAATGACTTATACTGTCTTTTTATGCGCAGCGTTACATCGCGCCGCGTAAACATAAAATCTTGTCTGCATTTGTGATCGGAGAAATGACAAACAACAAGCGCTACTCTACACTGCTCAAAACTCGCGTTTGAATCATCAGTGGCAAATTCTTTAAATATGAAAATGTACTTACAGTCTATGACTCTACACAGCC